TAAAACGTAATCAGGTACATATGAGTTACAAGAAGCGATTGTTCACACTGTAATAGACAAGTTTCTGTGACAAAAATGCGAGTTTTGTTTCATCACGTTCATGCTATGAGCCTAGACTGGCGGGTGTACGAATTTTGGAGTTATATAGTACAGTGCACCACCGTCCGTAAGCCAATCGTGTCTTCTTAGCGGTTACGGACAGGGGCGAGTGGTGACGAATGAGTACACCAAGAGAACGAAGATAGAAAGGTGGACGTGAGCATCCTCGTGCCTCAACTACAATTGTTTCCACAGCATCTTCAAAACACGCTTCCAGTATCATGCCCAAAGTGCTGACCGAATCTACAATGAAGCAGCCAAAGTGAATCTAGTCAGAATAACGAACGAACGAAATTTACAGTTTAACGTCGGCTTTTAGCGAAGCCAATATTGCCAACGGGGTAGGTGGGGTTTTAAGTCAGAATATGGAGAGTCGAGGGAATATATGATGTAAAATGGAATCTCAACCATTTGAGGTTGAGTGAAACGTAGGTTGAGTGAAAGGTAGGTTGAGAGAAAGGGAGGTTGAGTGAAAGGAAAGGTAGGTTGAGTAAAACGTAGGTTGAGTGAAAGGTAAGTTGAGTGAAAGTAGGTTGAGTGAAAGGTAGGTTGAATGAAAGGTAGGCTGAGTGAAAGGTAAGTTGAGTGAAAGGTAGGTTGAATGAAAGTAGGTTGAGTGAAAGGTAGGGTTGAGTGAAAGTAGGTTGACTGAAAGGTAGGTTGACTGAAAGGTAGGTTGAGTGAAAGGTAGGTTGAGTGAAAGGTAAGTTAAGTGAAAGCAGGTTGGGTGAAAGTAGGTTGAGTGAAAGGTAGGTTGAGTGAAAGGTAGGTTGAGTGAAAGGTAGGTTGAGTGAAAGGTAGGTTGAGTGAAAGGTAGGTTGAGTGAAAGGTAGGTTGAGTGAAAGGTAGGTTGAGTGAAAGGGAGGTTGAGTGAAAGGTAGGTTGAGTGAAAGGGAGGTTGAGTGAAAGGGAGGTTGAGTGAAAGGTAAGTTGAGTGAAAGGGAGGTTGAGTGAAAGTAGGTTGAATGAAAGTAAGTTGAGTGAAAGTAGGTTGAATGAAGGTAGGTTGAATGAAAGGTAGGTTGAGTGAAAGGTAGGTTGAGTGAAAGGGAGGTTGAGTGAAAGGGAGGAGGTTGAGTGAAAGGTAGGTTGAGTGAAAGGTAGGTTGAGTCAATGAGTTTGGTTTTGATCAACTTTCACCAACAACGTCACAGCGGGGCACATGAGAAATGACTTTACACATTGTACCCTTGAGGAAACCGAAACCTGGTCTTGGGAGTGACAAGAATTGCTGCAACATTAGGAAATAGGAAAGTATTATGTGTCTAGTCACAACCGGTTCATTTTCAACCCTTCTACGAGCTTTCTCAATTTCCGAATTTTAAAAGAAGAGTGGGTAACTCTAACCTATTTTCCTTAAAACTGCACATGACTCGAGCTGTGTCTTGTGACTCGAAAACATTATAAGGCCGTTTGGCTTGTTGATTGCAGCTTAGACATCACTTTGCTGAAACAACATGAAAAGAACATCATCATATCAGAGCTGGTTTCGTGTTTCCTCCGCTGTCAAGGAGATTGTCAAAAGAAATATTGGAAACAACGAGCTTTGTCGCGTCATTCGTTGCAAGGCCAAACCAAAAAACATAAACATAATACTTATAGGTATACGTGTGTGTGTGCGTGCGTGCGTGCGTGCGTGTGTGTGTGTTGGGGTCATGAAAAATGTCAAGTATGAGAGAGGCATGAAAAAGTGCTCATTGCTTCATAAAACGGTTGGTTTGAAAAATACATTACTGCTTACTATGCACCAACATGCATAATCACTAAATCAATTAATTGCGTGTCAAATATAGGACCATGACATTTTACAATTTTTACATTTTTACAAGACCCCGTGTCAAAACATTAAAGGTATTTCATTTTATTACGCCTATAATTCATAGTTTATGGATTCATGGAATCGCGTGTCTATAGAATGTACAAGAAGAAGGCAACAAAAATTAACAAATTTTCCCCTCGTTTGCACGATGATGTTTCACGCAGATAAGTTTATAAAAACGAGACACTAAACTGCAGGATTTGCCTCGCAAACTTTCCATTATCCACAGTCGCGTTCCATCGGCTTCCCTTAAAGAATAGACAACTACAACATTTTTTCAAAGTTTACCAGAAAATTACAAGCCATGTACTGTATGTCTTATCCGCACCTTTGATCTGGATCCTGTTAAACTCGCCATATTTCTCAACACGATACAGAGTACGAACAGCTGTCGTTTACCTCGCATGAATATCACAGATGCAAGAGATCCCTCTGCCTTTGTTTTTGTCTGTTCTGCATAGCCTCTGTGCTAGACTTGCATAAGACTTGCATAAGTCTCTAAGGTAATAATTAATAGTTTAATTGAAAATTTCTAAAAAAAATAATATCAATAATAGTCTGGCGTCCTTGGTCCCCTAGATTTGCCTTTACTATACATCCATGAGTTTAGCATTCAGTACAGCCTTGAAGCAAGGCTTCTTTGAGTGGCATTTTAGAATTTGGGAAGTACAATATAGAACAAACTTTCTCAATAAAAAAAGTTGTTTGTTTATATTGAAGCAAGGCTACCTTTATACATACCATAATCATTAGCCTGTCTCTCAGTCCCAGAACTACATAATATCTCCTTCCGTCCAGAATTTCTGTGCAGCAAAGCCATAATCAAAGCAAGTCTAGATTTTAATCACGTTCATCTCACCCTGCCTCCTTTTCAATTACATGTAAATGGAGTTAATTGGTTCTATCAAAATTAAATATTTTGGGAGAGTAGGCTTTAGTTCACTGCCTGATATACACAACCCACAACTGCATTGACGGTGCAGATCTGGCGTCCTCATCAGACGGATTAGATGTTGTTCGTTTGAAACAAACCAGTGACTGGTTTGGCACATGCTATAATCTGTGTTTTTTGTATTGCACGCGATGCACTTCGCTTCCTTGGCAGTTTTAGCATCACCAATATTCCCATCATAACTGCCAAGAGAGCATGTTGTTAGCGGGTTCGGGGGAAATAGGTCCCTAATAACCCTTGTGACGACACAGCTTCAAATACAATTAGTACCGGTACTGTCCTCGAAAAGCAACGTGTGTTTGTTGGACCAAAAATATTCAACTATACCAAACAATACCACATGATAAAAGGATATTGTGTTTTTTTATACAAGTGCACGTGCATATGCTTGTAAGAGTCGACTAACGGGATTGGGTGGTCAGGCTCGCTGACTTGGTTGACACATATCATCGTATCCCAGTTACATAGAACGATGCTCATGCTGGTGATCACTGGATTGTCTGGTCCAGACTCGATTATTTACAGATCGCCGCCATGTAACTAGAATATTGCTGAGTTCGGCGTAAAACTTAACTCATTCAATTAACTTTCAAGTCAAAACATTGATTTGCCTACACAGTCTCGTTTCCTGCTGACTGGGTTCCGTCCTATTGCGGAACATAGTACAATAACCAGTCCAGAATGTTTAGACCAACTCATTCAACTGGATACATAAATATTAATCAGTATTAATTGATACATCTAATCATTTGTATACTGCAGCACTACGCTCCTAATCCTTGCACAACACGTCGTGCAGCGTGCTCTGTCGTACAGCGAGCTCTGACAAACGGAAATCTGGAAATCGTGGAAATCTCAAAACGAGGCTCGGCCGTTAGAAACGTTTGCCGATCTGGTACGGACTTGATATTATATCAATCACATTGTGCGTTAAAACAAATACACTGAATAAGCGCAAAGAACACATAACAGGTGTAACCAGATGAATTGTGAATCATTTTACGATCTCATCAAACAGGGTCAGTCTGTGACGTCTTAGTTAAGGTCATGCTGCATAAACCTCGCCATAAAAATAATATAGAAATACGATTTTATATAAGGAATTGGAATTTAGTGTAACCATAGTTGTTTGTAGTGTCTCTTTTCACTTTCACACGAGAAAATTCGGATCGGCTGAACAGTAGGTCATTGTTTGAATTGGTTAATGAGACTCATGCTTCGGTTTTGCTGAGGGGGCAGGTTCGAACCCCTGCACCTTGCACTCCCTACCGCCACCCCCAACCCCTATCACATACATCGCACACGCCGGCACGCACGCTTGCAAGGTACATGTATAAGAGCGCCGAGTAGCCCAGTGGTAAAAGCGTTCTCTCATCACACAGAAGACCCGGGTTCGATTCCCCACATGGGTACAATGTGTGAAGCCCATTTCTGGTGTCCCCGAACCGATGACATGTGTCAACCAAGCCAGCGAGCCTGACCACCCGATCCCGTTAGTCGCCTGTTACGACAAGCATGGGTTACTGAAGGTTCATTCTAACCCGGACCTTCACGGGTGGAGACAAGCATGGGTTACTGAAGGTTCATTCTAACCCGGACCTCACGGGTCGGATGTGAGAAGATAAACATTCTTACTGTCAACAACAGCTGCAGCATCAGCAACTAACGCTAACCCGACCTTCACGGGTGGAGACAAGCATGGGTTACTGAAGGTGACCAGCACGTGTCACGGAGGTGGAGGGTTACTGAAGGTTCATTCTAACCCGGACCTTCACGGGTGGAGACAAACATCTGAAGGTTCATTCAACCCGGACCTCACGGGTCGGATTTGAAAAGATTTGTAAATACTCTGCAGCATCAGCAACTAACGCTACAGTCTTACCCAGCACGTGTCAGATCCCCGCTCCCACATCTCACAAATACACATTTATAATACATTTCCCGAAATGTGTTCAATGTCTTTTTCATCTGATGCAATTTCCAGCGTATCTGTGGAACTCCCATGCTACCAGCACCAGGCGCAGTATACCTGGGTTATCTAATCGCCGCACTTGCTGGTTCCAAGGTCTGAAATGAGTTAACGAGGATCCAATCGTCTATACCTCTGGTGGAACACACAATGTAGAAGACTAGCTATCGGCTCTACCGGCATACATGTGCATGGCATCAGAAAACGATTGAGTCTCCGCCTAGCTCGAGCGCGTTCATTCTTATTCCCGGCCGGCGAATTCGGTCAGAGTGCTTCGAGGTTGGATATTACACCCGTCCCATAGCGGTGTTGGGTTTTGTCATTGATGTAAACAATCAGCGGAAAAAGTCAACTCTCGCTTGGGTTACTCTCAGCGGAAGTGGGACGTTGGATATGTAGCGTTGTACATAGCATTTCCTTGTTGTCACATGTGCAATATACAAGCGAAAGACATCGAGCGGTGAATCACTGGGAGTGGACGGCTATCGGCTGTGGCATTGTGTCCGATTACGTGGCGGTGGATATAGAATAGGATCAGTGCGCTGGACCAAAAAGCCGGAATATGGTTGTTAATTTGTAATCAACACGTAGCCACGTGATATTAACATGCATTGACATCGTGGTGACTTGAGGATGATGGACAAGGATGAGCGAGGGAAGTGTTTGAGGAAGTATGTGAAAGTTTTCGTGTAAATACGGAGTACATACAGGAAGGAGAACGCTTGTACAGACGCTCGACATACTGCGTGTAATTAATGTAATTTGTGACGAGTCCCTGTCACATGTACATTTGGATTGGGGACGTGCAGTCAGCTTAACAATATCATTACACAGTTCAGCGAACACAGGCCGCTATTTAATGCTGCATCGTGGATTATATCCAGGATTAACGCTGATTAGAGAAACGGATTTACCGAAGATTCAGAGTAGTGACAAGCAGTGTACGCGTGGCTGGATTCAAGTGGAGATGTTTCAGGAAGTTGATACAGACTGTGTTGTGGTGGATTAAGGTGAATAATCGTATTCACATCAACTGAAAAGGGAGCTGAAGGGATTTGACATTTACACAGTACAGTCGTACGTATATTTGTCTGTCACTGAACGCAAGGAGAGTCAGTCACACAGTCAGTCAGTCAGTCAGACAGACAGGTGTATGTGTTTGTAATGCAACTGTACATTATGTAAATACACTCTGAGTACATTGACGGCCAGAGCAGCTTGTAGTTAAAATACACCAAGTTCAAGCGATACAGATTTAGGCCAAGGTCTGTACCATCAAGTGACAGAAATATAAAACAGACGGAAGGTTCAAGTGTATCAAGTATACGCAGAACAGGGGAAACAAATATATAAAACAGGACAGATCCTATCAAGTGTTATGAATCTCGAAAATGATGTGATACAAGGATACAAAGCTCAAGTATAAAAGAAGTTCAAGGTGATACAAATATATACAGGTCACGTGATACAACTTTATTACCTTTACTCGTGACACCAAGTGGTTGTGGTGTTGGCATGTCAAGTGAGGCCACTGGAAAAGGTCAAGTGATACGTCTATGAGAGGTCAAGTGATACGTCTTTGAGAGGTCATGTGATACGTCAATGAGAGGTCAAGTGATACGTCTATGAGAGGTCAAATGATACGTCTTATGGGATTAGCGAAGCAACAAGTGATACAAGTATATGTAGACAGGTGATACTACTATATTACAGTACCTCGCGTCATCAAATGGTAGGTACATAAATATCAAGTGATACTTCTATAAAGAACAAGTGGTACATATTTGTAAAGTCAAGTGACACAGGTTCGCCTAGAAAAGGTCAAGTGATACGTATATTAAAGATCAAGTGGTACGTCTAGAAGAGGTCAAGTGATACGTATATAAAAGATCAAGTGGTACGTCTAGAAGAGGTGAAGTGATACGTATATATAAGGTCAAGTAGTACGTCGAGAAGAGGTCAAGTGATACGTATATAAAAGGTCAAGTGGTACGTCTAGAAGAGGTCAAGTGATACGTCTTCGGCTATAAAAGGTGAACTGGTACGCCTATAAGAGGGCAAGTGAAACTTCTTCAAGAGGTCAAGTGATACGTTTTTCAGGATATCCGAAGCACCAAGTGATACACTTTTGTTTAGAGGAGACACCGAGATATTCATGCATGTTTAGCATGGACAACCGTGACAGCTGGTGATCATCTTTGTTGTCAAGTGATAGGGTGTCAGTAGTGAGGGCGTGGCGCCTCCAGACAGGGCGTGGCACCATGTGGTGTGGGTCTGGACGTACGGGGAGGGAGAGACTGAGGTCAGACAGCGAATGCTCCACCTACGACGAGGAGTGCAAGATCGTCGTCGTAGGCTCATCCAGCGTAGGAAAGACAGGTAGGTTCATTACTGTTACCTCGTTTGCTGGAAGGTGGGGTAGCCTAGTGGATAAAGCGTTCGCTAGTGACACTTAAGGTCCGAGTTCGATTCCTACATGGGTACACTCGCACACTTACAGTATGCAGTCCAAGCTAATTGGATCCAAGACCCTTACAACTTTGTCTGGAGTCTCAGATTTCATAATGTGTATTAATAGAATGGGAACACCTACATTAATTACACTTACATAAAATATTAGTACAATGCAATCGTAAACTGCGACGTCACGACATAGGATTGACTCTCTTTAAAAGTCAGTCGAATGGGAAGCTTCACACCCAACGATACCCAAAGTCCTACCCTACCCCTACCCCCTTCTCAGTGATGTGAATCAGCTGATCTCAAGACAGATATCACACACATCGTGATAACATATCTATATCACAACGTTTCATTAATACCACAGCGTTTAATTAATATATTAGCGTATAGGGGGGTGGTGGGGTAGCCCAGTTGTTAAAGCGTTCGCTCGTCACGCTGAAGGCCCGGCTTCGATTCCCACATGGGTATAATGCGTGAAGCCTATTTCCGGTGTCCCCCGCCGTGATATTGCTGGAATATTGCTAAAAGCCGCATAAAACCAAACTCACTCACTCACTCACTATTAGCTTATATCTGACACTCGTTTCATATCATCGGTATGACTGACGTGCTCCTGTAATAACCCGTATGTATAACCTACCGATAGCTATAATACATGAAACCAACAAGAACTGTTGTCTAAACCGGCATTTTATTTCGGTACCGTGGGGTGCCGGTTTAGACAGGTTTCACTGTATATTCAATTGCGATATATTTCATACAACACGCCGTTGTGTATGGATTTCTACAGTGTTGCGGTGACTGTTTTCAATCTAGTAACGTTTTGATAACGTTTGTAAATGTTTAGTCAAATCCAATCTTCAAACGTACTTTTACATATAATGTTCTAAAACTGGAAACATTACCTTGGTAATGACAGTATACATTTCCCAACAATCACGATTACATACCGTTGCATATAAACCCATATACACGCTTAGACATTTGATTTAATTTTTTTATTCATTATGAGTAATGAAAAGGATTGGCAAACAAGCCACAAAGCTTATTTTAATGCCACTCCAATACAACAACATTGATTATGTACATATGTATGATATTTCAACAGTAAATAATTAAGTGACATTGAATTTGATGAATGAAATAAATTCATTTACACTAGGTACTCTAGGTTTACACTAGATTTACAGTTATGTATCACATTGTGTTTGAGTACATTACTTCTTAAAATTTAAATCGACAAGATTTTTCTATAAAACAATGAACAGATTTACCAATTTGCAAATTTTCAATTTCTGATGCTTGAATATTTCCATATAAGATAGTATCCATTTCTATAAAAAGCTTAGACATTTGTTACCAGCTAGCGTATATCATTACATTAAAAACCAACATTGAATAAAAGTTTATTGCCGTTTTATGATTGGAGATGGTATCGATGTTAAGACAACAGCATCATCGACAGTATCAAGTTTTAGTACGTGTATGTGAATAAAGAGAATATCGGTTAATGGCGCAAAAAAAGTACAAATGAACAAAACAATTGAAATTCAGGTCACTTTCGTCGGTCTTTACTAAGACGGAATGCAGCCTGAATGAGCAATAGGATAACTATTTATGCCATTGCTTCCGAGATATATCTATTTCACATTGTTGTGTAAAATAGTTGTACACTGAGGAATCGGCGCATGCTATGCCCGAAGCTCGCTGCATGTCCAACATTCGGTTTCCAGCGCACCAGTAGGTTATACTCGGAAGTGACTGTTTCCTACGAATTGTACATTTTCTCAGAATTTATCGTGTCATTTAGTGCAATAATTCTTGTCCAAACTACGAAATCGATCCAATCAGTCAAAGTGTGTTCTGACACCAGTTCACGAGTTCATCTATCAAGAAAATATCTGTATTTACTTTCAATTACCACTCAGAGCGACTCGACTGTTTCCGGAGGTACGGTTGTGTTTGCGCATATGGCTGAGTTCCTCATATTGACCTTTAATGCATATGGTCTGCCCAGACCGAGAGCCCAGTTTTCAGCGTGTCTTGGTGACATGGCGTTTTTATATGTTTGCGCTGTATATTTTACGCCAACTAACATGGTCGACATTTATCTTGAAACATCGGGTTCAAGGTAAGCAAACACAGGATTCAGCATGCACAATGAAAGCCGAGCGGACGCGATGGGTATAAGTGATTGTATCCGGTGCCTAAACATAATTACTATAACTGCTTATAAAGGTTTATCATTCGATACAATGGTTTGTGGTAGTAGCTGTTCTCGTGGCATAGCTTGTTGTGGCATTTCCAGTCAAAATATGTCAAACGGCAATGTGTCGGGAGTGCACCGACTGTCTGTAATTTAGACCTCGAGTATGGTGCAATTACGTCAGTGAGACAATCACTGCGTGACATTCGTGTTTATATTTGTATACTTTAGTTTAACATCTGTTAGGAAAATTATTAGAGTTAGTCACACATGATTATTGTATTATGGTCCGCACTTTCGAAAATGCCATGTGGAATATCATTGGGAATGCCTAATGCTGATCTTCGCAACCTCGGAAAAACATCCTCTGTGAATCGTGTTTGTGTCTAGGTGATTGTAATGGGGATTGTATGGTCACAATGGCTGCAGTGAATGAGTTGTTATGTCACAGCATGTTTGTGGCGCGCTTAATGGTGCAACTCTGCACAGTGAATGCATGGACGACAGTCAACGGAAGGTAAAGGTACAGGCACAGTTGCTGTCGTTAAAGTTGACGGTACAGACATCGTCGATGTCGTTAATGTCGCTATTGTTAACGATGCGGTCATCGTCACTTTCGTTAATGCGGCAAAGTTAACAGTGCAGTCATCGTCAATTTCGGTAATGTTAACGGTGCAGTCATCGTCACATTCGATAATGCGGCAATGTTAACAGTGCAGTCATCGTCACTTTCGGTAATGTTAACGGTGCAGTCATCGTCACATTCGATAATGTTAACGGTGCAGTCATCGTCACTTTCGGTAATGTTAACGGTGCAGTCATCGTCACATTCGATAATGTTAACGGTGCAGTCATCGTCACTTTCGGTAATGTTAACGGTGCAGTCATCGTCACATTCGATAATGTTAACGGTGCAGTCATCGTCACATTCGATAATGTTAACAGTGCAGTCATAGTTAATGTTAACGGTGCGGTCATCGTCACTTTCGGTTATGTTAACGGTGCAGTCATCGTCACTTTCAGTAATGTTAACGGTGCAGTCATCGTCACATTCGATAATGTTAACGGTGCAGTCATCGTCACATTCGATAATGTTAACTGTGCAGTCATCGTCACATTCGATAATGTTAACGGTGCAGTCATCGTCGCTATCGTTTTCGTTTATGCCAGCAAAGGTAACGGTGCAGTCATCGTCACCTTCTTTGCTGTCGGTAATAATAATGGTGCAGTCATCATCACCTTCTTCGCTGTCGGTAATAATAACAGTGCGGTCATCATCACTTTCAGTAATTTTAACGTTGCAGTCATCGTCACATTCGATAATGTTAACGGTGCAGTCATCGTCACTTTCGGTAATGTTAACGGTGTGGTCATCCTCGCTTTCGTTTATGTCAACAAAGGTAATGGTGCAGTCATCGTCGCTTTCGTGAATGCTGGTTATGTTAAAGGGGCGGTCGTCGTCGCTGTCGTTGATATCATTAGAATTAATGTTGCAGCCATCGTCATTATTGCATAGCAAATGTAATGATAATCAACACCGTCCCCAAACAGGTTAATGCATGTGTGACCCTTTGTTACAGTGTCATCGGTTGTGGCGCAAAGGTTATATGACATCTCTCCAGGGTTCGAATCTCCACTTGGGTACAATGTTAGTAACCCATTCATTGTGCGCGCGCACGCACACACACTACACACATATCCTCCCTCCTGGACATTACTGCTTGTTGCATTAGTGCTTAAACCAGGAGAAACACAACTCCCTCGCTTGCCCTTCATTGTACGGTTTTCATCAGTGAGTTCGGTTTTACGCCACTTTTAGCAATATTCCAGCAATATCATGGCGGGGACACCAGATTGGGCTTCACTGATGTGGGGAATCAAACCCGGGTCTTCGGCGTGACGAGCGAACGCTTGAACCACACGGCTACCCCACCGCCGTTGTTTTCATCAGCATAATAAGAGCAGTGACCTTGACATAACTCTCTCTATATATGGCGGGTCATGCTTCACAATAAAGAGAACACAATTCAGTATATGAGGTAAAGTTAAACCCTTCAGCTCTCTAAACAGATGCTTTTGTCCCACACTTAAAGGGGAAAGTGTGCTATTCCCAGTTGAATAGACCGTTAAAACCTGCTTTGATGCATCTTCACGAACTAGACATTAAACCATGCAGTTAAACAGACGGGTGCATATCCTTCATGCACTTCTCCTTAGCATAACACATGTTGCTTTGTTTGTTAGTTTGAGCATTTGAACATTTATCTCAATACGGTCCCGTGTGGGAATTCAGGTTTTCACAATTGCCTCCTGTTTCATGAAAATCTAGCGTCGTCAGTTTGCTCACAAATGCATTTGGTCACGGATTGATGAATCCTCACGTGTCCGCAGTTGACAATCTTTAGTTGAAGACATTTCCAACATTAAGGCATAAGAGAAAAATATCTCCAATTATGTTCCTTATTTTGGCTTGTGCAATATGTTCCCGTGTTTCATTTGAACAATTGACGCGTCTTTGCATGTGTTTGTGATGGTGTCATCGACGGCAGGATCCGCTCACATGTTCGGGAACACCTGGTATCATCACTGTGTGCTAGAGATTCATCAACACACGGATGCTATATAACTGGAATCGTACAGTCTGCTTTTAGCAGACATTTCATATGATTGGGGAAAAGGTTTTGTCTTTTCGTGTAAGTCTTCAGTTTAA